GGATTGAAATTGTATGTGTGTATTCAAACTATCATCTTTACCTGACAGTTATATAACAATATAACTACTGTTTAATTCCTTATATCTTTTATATATCTTAAATATCAGATAATTAGTTAATGAAAAGGTTGAGAAACCACACTATAGCTATGAAGGCGTCGCCCTGCCTCTATATACATAGATACCTTGAAAATTTTGTTTAGAGAGGGCAGAATCATAGAGCCTGAGACCATAATATTCAACCCTCACCCCCTTATTTTCAAGAAGAGGAAACTGTTCAGAGAGTTGACACAATTTGTTCAAAAACATTAGTAGTAGAACTAGAATTATTTGTAAAATCTTCTGATTATGCGTTAAACTTTTTTTGCTAAGTGTTCAAAGCCTCCACCTAATACTTTTTTCATAGTAGACTAAATTGTTTCCCCAAATACTCAGTTATTCTGTTTAGTTTTTCCCTAGTGATAACATTCAAATTTCTTTTTTTTCCAAACAGAGGTCTCACATATTTATTACTGAACCAGCTTATTAGAACAGAGCATATAAACAAAGAGAAAAATCACTTTCCCAGTGAAATGTGTCTGACCAGATAGTAGTGACGTTTTCAGCTTGATATGGTAAGATGATAGTGACCTTGATACAGCGGAAATATGTGTGCCATCATCTCGTGTGCAAGTCCTTATAGACCCAGCTTGGTTCTTCTCCAAAGTCTCCTCTCGGAGTTGTATCTGATTTTATTACCAGTTTTCATCCAAATCCACTGGGGAATGGGACGATTTTGCTTTTGTTTCTTAGCCAGAAATCACTTGATTCTGAAAGTCTTGGGAGAAGACATGGTGAGAAACGGAGTCAACCACACACATCAGGATGGCGGAGAAAGGGAGAAAGGGCCGAATGTCTTAAATGTCTCAGCAATCATACCACGAACAAGAGAAACTAAATTTACACACGTTACTTGAAATAGTCATCCGATCGGATATTTTCATGGGAAAAATCTCTTCTTAAATAAGTGACAAATGGGAAAATCTCAGTCAGTTTCTCATGTTTGGTTAATCCGGACTAGCTCACATTAGCACATTAACCAGGGAGATAAAGATGAGATGGTTTTTGCCAAGAAAGACCTGGGTGTTTTCCTGGGTTCAGGGCACTAGACATTGAGTTGCTCATTGTTCCTACAGATGTCTTCAATTTTATACTCAGACTTACATTTCCATTCCCATGGGTGATGTGTTGCAACATCCCCTCTGACTTTCCACGTTGCCTTGGGAACAAAACCATCTAAGGGATTCAGGAAACACACATAAAAAATAAGGATTCAATTGTAAAGGTTCATTCCATTTAAGCAAAGTTGGCTCCTTGCATTTTCTCCTTCGCAAACTAATGTGCACAATAGCTTATAAGGTAATTATTCATTCATTTTAAGACTTCAAGAATAGGGGACTCAGGCAGAATTTTCAAAGCAAAAGAAATAATCAGGTAGTTTTCATATCCCAGAGTTTTAAAACTCTACCAAATAACTCCATAAAAATGCCCAACACATACACATACACACACACACACACACACACACACACACACAAATAGGAGCTACCGGGAAAGTATTTCTGAATACATGAATCTTCCAGAATGTTTTCGCTTGTTATCCTTTTTTTCCACAGAAAAATTTAAAAATCCACTTACTCACTTTCACTTTGGAAATCTAAACCAAATTTGCAATTGCTTGAGTCATGAGGTAATATGTCGTGGGGCTTTATTTTTACCTGTGCCTGCTGTGGCCCAGAACTACCTTTTATGGTGAGGACAGGAGGGTAGATGGCGGGAGCAGCAGCCTGCCATTAAATTCATCTGCTTCTCAAAACCATTAGGACCAGTTGAGAATGCTATAGACTCAGTTCTGTGCTTTCTTTTAGTCCAATGCCTCAGGTTCACTCTAATGTCCCCAATCTCCATCCTTTTCCTGGGAACAGAGGACAATATTCCCTTCATGAGAGCCTTATATACAATATGAAGGAAAAGCAGAAACCAGGGAATAAACAGATGCATGTCTACACAGACTGGCCCCTGCCTGTGTTCTTCCTCCTACGATCTCCATGTTGCTGGAAGAGGTGAAACCAGAAACAATAGCTAATAGTTATGAAGCATTCTCTATAACCTGGGCTCCTTACCTATGCTGTCTCATTTAATCTTTGCACACACTAAAACACTGAGACCATTGTTACCCCTATTTTACATCTGTGAAAACTGATGCTTAAAGAAATTAAGTAACTTTCCCAAGGTCACTCAACCAGCAGATGATGGACCAGATTCAGATCCTGCCAGCCTAAATCCAGCCATCACCTTTAACCAGTGCTTGACTGAGAATTACCCCATAGTGATTGCTGGAACAGCTCCCCCCACGTCAGTGGCCTACTTCTTACCAAACTATAAAAATGTTACCTGTTTTACCTCTGGGCACTATGTTGAGACCAATTTGGATCCTCTATGAAAGAGTTATCATCTGAGAAAATTCTAGTGTGCAAATCATAACAAAGACATTAATACTTTTATTTTCAATCAATTTGATTACGGTATAATTTTTATATAATATGCACCATTTTCTGTTTTATATAATATACACCATTTTTTGTTTTTTTGCTTTTTTTGTGTCTGTGTGTGTCTTTTTTTTTTTTTAATCGAAGCTCCCTTACTGGTCCTGCTTCCATGAGTGGCTGTGACCAGGGGAAAAAGGAAGCGTCATCTCCACAACACTCCATTTATGTACACAGATCTAAACAGACAAGCACAGAGTCACTATTTTGGTTAGAAATTGGCAGCATGGGAAGGGATGGAACAGGTGAGGAGCAGGGGTGTTCTTAAAAAAATACAGCCTTCCCCCAACTGGGGTGCCTGGGGGGACCTTGGTCTGCTTCAACCCAGGAGGAATCAGAAGATCAAAAGCAGTTTGGGAAGGCCAGAACCGTCAGGGATGGAGGGAG